GGGAAACCTGTTCCAGTGTTTAATCACCCATAGAATAAAAAAAGTTTCTTCTCATGTTTGAACAGAATTTCTTGTATTTCAGTTTGTGCCTATTGCCTCTTGTCCTTTTCCTCAGCACTACTGAGAAGAGTCTGGCTCCATCTACTTTCCCCATCAGGTATTGATATGCATTGATAAGGTACACCTGAGCCTTCTCTTCACTAGGCTGAGCAGTCCCAGTTCTCTCAGCTTCTCTTATGACAGATGCTCTCATCTGTTAATTATCTTCATGGTCCTTTTCTGCACTCACTCTAGTGTGTCCATGTCTGTCTCATACTGGGGAGCCCAGCACTGGACCAGCACTCCAAATATGTCTCACCAGTGCTGAGTAGAGGAAGACTCACCTCCCTGGACTTGCTGGTGATGCCCTTCCTAATGCAGACAAGGATACTGCTGGTCTTTTTTGTCACAAGGGTGCATTGCTGGCTCATGTTTAACCTGCTGCCCACCAAGACCCTCAAGTCCTCTGTAAAGCTGCTTTCCAGCCAGTCAGCCCCCAGCCTTTTCTGGTGCATGGGATTATTCCTCCCCAGGTACAGGATTTGGCATTTCTCTGTGCTGAACTTCTTGAGGTTTCTGTGGGCCATTTCTCCAGCCCGGGCCCCTCTGAACAATAGCACAATCCTTTGGTGCTTCAGCCACTCCTCCCAGTTTTGTATCATCTACAAGCTTGCAGAGGGTGCACTCTACCCATCACCCAGTTCAGTAATTATGGTGTTACACAATATTGTCCCCAGTATTGACCCCTGGGCTAGACCACTATTGAGTGGCCTCCAGCTGGACTTCATGTCACTGATCACAACACCATGACCCCAGCAGTTCTGCCAGCTTTCAGTGCATCAGTCCACCTCACTGTCCATTTATTTAGCCTGTACTTCATCAGCTTGTCTGTGAGAATATTGTGAGAGACTGCCAAAGGCCTTACTGAAGCAAAGATAAACAACATCCAGAAGCATACGAGTGAGAAGCTCCACTCATCAGCCAAGCCAGTCGCATCCTTTGTAGAAGGCTAACAGGTTGGTCAGACATGATTCTGTTGACTAATCCCAATCACCTTCCTGTCCTTGAGATGTTTGGAAATAGTTTCCAAGATTATTTGCTCCATCACTTTCCCACCAGTGTGTAGTTCCCTGGATTCTCTTTCTTGCCATTCTTGAAGATAGGAGTGACATTTGCTTTCTTCAAGTCCTCAGAAATCTTCCCTGAACACCATGACCTTTTAAAGATAACTGAGAGTGGCTTTGCACTGACAACATTGAGCCTCCTCAGTACTCATCGGTGCATCCCATCAAGTCCCATGGACCTGTGTATCTCCAGTCTGTTTAAACATTCCCTAACCTGATCCTCCTCCGGCAAGGGTAAGTCTTTCTTGCCCCAGATTTTCCCACTGGTCTCCATTGAAGACCAAGGCAAAGAAGGCATTGAGTACTTTGGCCTTTACTACGTGTTTTGTCACCAGCTCGCCTGCCTCATTCAGTAGCGTGCCCATATTCTTCCTAATCTATCTTTTGCTGCTAATATACCCATAGAAACCCTTCTTGTTCCTCTTTGTAGCCCTCGCTGAACTGAACTCCAGGTGGGCTTTGGCTTTCCTAACCCCATCCCTGCATGATCGTATAATTTCTCTATTTTCCTCCCTGGTGACTTGCCCTGATTGCACTTCGTGTACTCTTCCTTTTTATGTCTGAGTTGTATCAGGAACTCCTTGTTCATCCATGCAGGCCTCCTGTTGCCTTTGCTTGATTTCCTGCTTGTCGGAATGAACTGTTTTTAAGCTTGGAGGAAGTGATCCTTGAATATCAACCAGCTCTCCTGGACCACAGTGCTTTCCAGGGCTGTATCCCATGGGATTCTTCCAAGCAGATCCCTGAATAGGCCAAAGTCTCCTTTCCTGAAGTCCAGGCTTGGAATCCTGCTTTTTTCCCTGCTCTCTCCTCTCCAGATCCTGAACTCCGTCATCTCACTATCAGGGGCAAGGATGCCCCTGACCTTCACATCCCTGACCAATCCTTCCTTGTTTGTGAGTATGAGGTCCAGTGGAGCTCCTCTCCTTGTCAGCTCCTTAATCACCCATGTCAGGAAGTTGTTGTTAATGCACTCCAGAACCCTCCTGGATTACTTACGCCCTGCTGTGTTGTTCCTCCAGCAGATGCATCGTGCCTCCCCCAGATATTGGGGTAAAGCGCTTTAATACTTTGAAGTAGTAAAGTACTCCATGAGCACCCGGGCCTGTGAGTGCGAGACTTCTTCCAGTTGTCTGAAGAAGCCTCATCTACTTTTTCCTGATCAGGCAGTCTATAGCAGACACCCACCACACCATTGCCCATCTTGGTCTGGCCTCTAATACTGACATAGAAGCTCTCAGCTGGCTCCTCATCTGTCCCTAGGCAGAGCTCCATGCATTCTTGCTGCTTTCATAAAAAGCAACTCCCCTTTCCGCCATCCCACATGTCCTTCCTAAAAAGCCTGTATCCATCCATGGCAGCGCTCCAGTCCTGTGAGCTATCTTACCACATCTCTGTGATCCCAGTGACATCATTGCCCTGTGACTGCACACAAACCTCAAACTGTTAGTTCTCCATGTTGTGTGTGTCAGTGTACGGATGCTTCAAAGACTGTTCAGCTTCCCAGAAAAGGGAGGAGAGCTTTCCTTGTGCTGTCCTATGGGTGCTTCCTTATTCATGTGCATACACTTGAAGTGGGCCCCATTTAGTCCTGTTACGTTGATTATGAGATTTCTCTTGTCCACATCACCCTGTTCACTTCACTTGTCCCATCGGTCCACTACTTCCTCACTTGATTGTTGGTCCTCATCTTCCTCCCCTGTTGCTCCTAGTTTAAAGCTCTTGTCACCAGTTGACTAGACTGTAGGCAAAAATGCTTTTGCCCTGATTAGTCATTTGGATCCCATCTCTTCCAAGAAGTCCTTGAAGTGAAAGATGCTCTCATGGTCATAAAAGCCAAATTCCTGTTACTGACACCAAATGTGCAGCCAGTTGTTGATCTCGTGGATCCATCCAGCCCTCCTCAAGCTATTTCTCTTCACCAGCAGGATTGAGAACAACACTTGAGCTCCATGCCCTTGACCATCACCTCCTTCCAGGATCTTCCAGGATCAAACTGAAACTTGTTGTGAATATGATGGACAGCAGTTTTTCATGGATTTACTCCTCATGGTAGAAAAAGCCATTTCTACTGCTCACTCTCCTTCTCTCTCATTTCATCACCATGCAACAGATGAAATCAGGGTTGGAGTATGATACCCTATGAAAGAAGGGCAGCAAGCACATCCTGATCCTATTCTTGCTGTGCTAGCAGAGAAACTACAATCCTGTTAGTCCTCCCAACCAGATCTGTCCCTGGAAGTAATGGCTAAAGTTTGGTGCTTTCCCAGGCCTATGGAAGAATGTTGTCCTAGTTCAAGACATGGCATGCTGTTTGTGTGGTATTTGCTTTTCCTCTAGAGAAAAAGAGTTGCTGAAGCATTTTTTTCTTACACTTGTGCGGTAAAAATAAATATTTTTGGATGCAGGAAACTAACCTTTCCCTAACCCTTGGAAGTGGGTGTCCAAACTTCCTTGGGTTTGCCAGGGTAATCAGAAAGGCAAACAAGCTGATGGATGAGCTTTATTCATTGAGCTGTCTGCATTCCTGAACTGATAATGTATTTGGGTCAGCAGATTTATACAGTTCACACTTCATTATAAGCATAGAATACTTAGACGTGATCTTAATAGTGCAGATCTTTCTGCAATTTCTGGGTTATTCCTGGATGGGTCATAGAGCTTTAAAATGCAGTGAAAGTTAATCAGCACAGGTTTCTGCTAACAGCTTGCGTAGTTCTTTCCTTGTAAGTTAGCATGCAAAGAGGGGATGGCACATAGTGGATTTTGTTCTCCTCTCTTGGAAGCGGTCTGACTGACATACTGGAAAGCACCTGAGTGCTTTTGAAGGCACGGATCATGACCTAGGACTGGATAAGTGACAGAAGGTTGAAAAAGACTTTTTTTGCCAGCATAAGTCATTCCCACACTTTTATTTGGGATAGACATCTGATCACAGAGGACTCTTCCATCATCAAATCCTCCCTAGGCAAATATGGCCTAGTCCTGAAATTGGCTGAGGTGTGCACCCTCTAGCCTTAAAGTGGCCATTCGCCAAGTTCAGAAACACATATTTTCCATCTGGCCATTGTGTTCATTGTGTTCTTCCTTTATATCAGCTTGTGGGAACTGTTACAAGCAAGATATGAAATATGAGCAGTGAATACATCTTTCGCAATAAGCTTAAATGGAAAATAAGGGGGGAAAAGTGCAAATTACTTCCCCTTTATGCCTTCATTTCTTCATTATTCATTGTTTTGCTTTTGGGGTTTGAAGTCTGTACTAAGAGGAATGCTTAAAGTATTAGCTATTTTACTTTGTTTTCACTATGGATATTGTTGAAATCCTTTAAAAAGAAAGTCCCTTATCTTGAACACAAATAGCAAAGTAATTCTTTCTGCTATTTTACTTTGTTTTCACTATGGATATTGTTGAAATCCTTTAAAAAGAAAGTCCCTTATCTTGAACACAAATAGCAAAGTAATTCTTTCTGCTAGGTAAGAAACTGTACCATCAAAAAGAGTGACTGGACCATTCTCATGGACCAGTACTATTTGACATCAGGGAAGGAAGTGGTTAAATGCCAGGGATGATGTCTTCTTAAAAGAGGTGGCTGGTACAGAGAAAAATAAGTGATACTCATGTAGCTTAGTGGCAGAGCGAGGAAGGAAAATGTAACCCTGAGGAGAGCCGTTCTGGAAAGAAAGCCGACACGGGGGGGTGTGAGCTGCTTACCCGAGTATCTGCATTGGCTTCAGCTCCACAGAGCTGTAAGCATCTGGCATGGGGACATGGGACATGGTGCCTTCACACTTCCTCCAGACTGAGTACTTTTTTTGGCTATTTTTCTCTTTGCAGGAACCCAGACCTTTGTATAACAAAAGGTGCCAGTTTTATTCAAGTGGTGTAGGATTCCTATATGATGCCTACCAGACAGAGGTAAACAAACCCACCTCATCCCATGCTTGTTTCTGCTGTGCTTTGAGGGGCTTGGGAGGAGGGAGGCAGGTGTTTGAGAGCATGTCTGTGCATGTAGGTCATGGGTTGACAGAAACCCTACTGTTTTTTCTCTCACAAGTGACTCCCCGCTTGTCCAAACCTCTGATGATTGCAAATCATTACAACCAGTGAGGTTTTGAGTTGTCATCAGTGTTTCTATCCAGTACATTACTCTGGGACTGGAAAGATTCCTAGTCCATCTATACTGTATAATAGCTGTCTGGAATGTCTTTGTCACATTGGCATCTTTCTCTAAGGAGGTTTGTGTAGACTTCAAGTGGAATAGGAAATATCTAAATTAATCCATTTGCATTGTCCAGAAGACTTAAAATCTTATTTATCCAGCACAGGCCAAGAATGTCAGTGGTTTGAATGCAGCTTTTTTATTATCTCAATGACATTAACATGGTCGGAAAAGTGCCCATACCCAAATGGCTAGCCTCCTGAGAAGTCCAGATTTAGTTTCTTTTCCTATTTTTCATTTTATTATTGTGGTAAATTGGTGAGAGTGAAAAGGAAATCAAGCAGAGCGGGATTGAAAACAGCTAAACAGTGGTATAACTTACAAGAAGCCAGATGTCCTTCATCACCATTCCTCCCATGGCTAAGAAAAAGTGTATGGGAGTGTTACCGTTAATAACTGTAGACAGCTTAGCAAAGTATATTACCAGGTTAAGCAGCTAATCCTGCTTAAATCTTGCTGCTAGGGCACCCTGTTATTGATTCCAGAAAATGTATGACAAAAATATTTCATTGACCTCCTTGCCTAAAGACCTACCCAGACAAACTTACGATCTGTGACAACACCCTTTCCTATAAGTTTTAATCCATCTTCTTCTAAAGTGTGCATGCACACTCAGACACAGACATGGCCTGAAAAATGCTTCTCATTCCTGCAATAAGCGTGTAGCTGGTGTCACACTGACCACAACTCCCTGCAGGTTACCCCAGCCTTGGGCTTCTGGCCAGACAGGTTTCCCCAGCTCTGCAGATTCTGGGAATGTCTAAAGTTGGGCCACCCAGAGCTCCTTGCTCTATTCTGGCAAAACCCCTCTATCTTTTAAAACTGTAGTTAGTTTGGAATAACATTCTTGTCTGGTTGTCCACTGATCTAGAGTCAGCATGTGCTAATTCAGAGTTAATGATCCCTGGCATTTGAATTTGGCTTTTGTTTTTGCAAAGTTAGCCAGCTAGTGAGCAGGGGACATGCTCTGCATGCCAGGCGAACACCTAACGAGGAAGGCAGATTGTTTACTGAGTGCAGATTTCTTTTTGATTACCACCTCTAGCCTGTGAGTGGTCTCCAGCTCATGTAGCTTGCCTGTTTCAGTTCTTCTCTTTGCTCAAAGCAGAAAGAATTTGATTTTCTTGCAATTACCATGAGGTGAGAACATCTCCTCAATTGGTGCTGAGGGGATAGACAGGCACAAACAGCGAGAACATGAAAAAGCTAAATGTCTGGTCACTGAAATGAAATAGTAAGTCATGACATGCAGAATACCCACAAATGGCCTGCTTCCACCACCCTTGCTCACACCACACAGTAATTTGTTTTATTCAGTAATTTTGGTTTACTCACTGTTCTCCTAAAAAGGAGTGTCTTGCTCTTTGCATGTTTTAAAAATGCAGTGATAAAAATAGACAACTACAGTAACTCCCTTGGCCAATAATATAATATGTCTTGTAGCCTAGAAGCAGCTAAAAACATGTTTAAGATCTTACCAGTCTCCCTCTTTTGTACTTCTGGCCATCTACAGTAGAAAGGGGCAAACTGGCCTTATTGATGCTTGGGGAGGGGAAAACTACTTTTATTTCCTATCATCCGAAGTGGTCGCCAAAGCCATGCATCAGAACAAACCACCTTTTTAGCAGCCCACTCCATCTTACAAAGCCCTTCGATCCCAATCATGCCTGTGTAATGGGAAAAGGGTATTTTAACTATGCAGGTCCTAGGCCATTTTGACAGCGTACAGGGGATCAAAACCAAAATCTTAAGTTCCATTCAGTGCAAAAGCACTAGGGCATCCCAAATAAATGGCTGTGGTAGTGGATGCATTGGCACAGTCTGCTCCAGGATCATTTTTCAAACTGCTTTGAGAAGTAGTCGGGTGTGGCGTTTCAGCCACTTCTGAGCTGGATCTTGATTAAGCTGACGCAGTCGTTGACAGTAGCCGGCTCCTCTTCTGCAGCTCAGGTTGAGGACAGCTTCAGCTGAATGTGACTTCAGGCCAACAAAGCCCTTATGTCAAATTCCAGTAAGTTCAGACACAACAGAACAAGGCTGATGAAACAAAGTCTTATTCTTGTGACAAGTGGGATGTATTGGTATCAAGCTGTGAGCTCCATTTCCAGATTGCAGCCTAGACTGAGACTGTCCTTTTATAACCAAACTTCCGTTTTGGGTTAGAAGAGCTGATTTGTATGAGACCCTAACCACAGGTACAGCCTTGTCCTGGCCAGCAAAGCAATCCAAAGGCATAATTTTAACTTCCATTTAAGTTTAGCTTTATCACCCAAATTCCACTGCTGAAGCAAATCCTGCTAAGGACAAGTGTGGCAAGTCTGAGACCCGCTACAAGATGAACTTTCTCTGATGCTGAGTGTGTGTGTTTAAGGCTTTCACTTTTGCTGGGAACAAACACGTGAGGAGTACAGACTCATCAACAGTGGCAGTTTTCACACTAAAAAGGATGCACAGATGCTGAAGAGCTGACAAACATCTGGTTTAACATCTCCTGTGGAGACTGTCCCACAGACCAATGCATTCATGGCTAAGCAGAACTGTCCGACAGAAGCTTTTCAAAAGCAGGCATGTAGTCCAAAGCATGCTCCTTCTACTTTTTCATTATGAGGAGTTTTCCATTCAATAATGCATTTTATTTGCATTTGATGAACAAAATACTTCTCAGTGGTTACGCTACATTTTTTTATCAAAATAAAAACTTTAGAAAGAATTTTCTGACCTGCTGGCTTTTAAAACCTGACAGTTCTCCAGGATTTCAAAGTCAATAAGCTAAAAATCTCAGGAAAAAAAAGCCTTACATCATATAAAATATTTCAATTGGTCTGTAGTGCCAAATAGAAGTGATTAATGCTTACCACACTTAAGGAGTCATTAAAATGATTTCTTGTCTGGATGGAGAGTGGCTTATGTGTGCCTACCTTTATTGTTCTAACATCTGTCCATCCCTGCAATTGCTGCTCACACAAATAAACCTTTTCAGTTTTCTATTCAAGAGCCTGCAGTAAATGGTACTTACTTGCTGGAGTGCTTGGATCTTTTCTGAGCAGTTTTGTGTGTGGGTTTGGAGATCATCTTCTTGTTGTTCCTAATTATTTCCTTCTTCAGAAGGGTGTTACTGAAAGGAGAGAGCTCCCATTCATTGGAAGCTGTTCAGACAAATTGACTTCTTTGTCCATTTCCCCACTGTAATAGAGTGGTATTCTTATCCACTTCAGTGGCTTGCTGTGGTGTATCTCTCAGGACCCATGGTCCCTGCATCACAGCCGTAGGGATCTGCATCTCGCAGCTGCAGACTCTGGGTCTCAGCAAACTAGCACCAGGCAGTGCAGCAAAGTGCTTGAAAACTCTGGCAGCCCTGGCTGCGGGTCGGTGCTGGGGGCTCTGGGCTCCATAGTGCAAATGCCCCGAGACTCAGGGGCTGATGTCCCAAATGAAACTCCTGGGAGCTCAGGGATGTCCTTCTGCCCTGCAGTCGTGGATTTTTGAATCTCAGGATCTTTCTGCACAATAGGTAATAAAACCTGATGCTGCAGTAGCTGCTTCTTTGTGGTCATTAGGATGATTCACACAACACTGAAACACTGAGAATAAAAGTCAGTCTCTTCTTTTTTGGCAGGTGACATGTTATACCTTAAGCAGCAAGTGCCAGCTGAAAGTAAAGAGTAACACGTGCTATTGCTGTGACCTGTACAACTGTGAGAAGTAAGTACCTGTGTGCAGTCAATGGCCTCTGAGAAATCCTTGGTTGTTTGTCCCTCCTCTTAAATGATGGGGAGGGGTGCCCTTAGGCATGGAAAAGCAACACAAGGGGCTTGTACGCTGAGCAATCCACTTCCTCTGCAATTGAAGTCCTGATGCTAGCAGAGAAGAGCTCAGGGGTTGCATATTAGTGTTGGCGTTATTTCAGTTTCTTTTTCTTTAAATATGTCCATAAGCTCTTTGCTGTTTGATCAAAATCGACCACTCAAGTCATAGCCCTGCCAAGATTTACTGTTGATCTTGCAATGCAATTTTCCTATTAGATTTAGTGAATCCTTTTTTTTTTCTACCAAACTGGGGGAAATAAAATGAATAGGAACATAGGTGTCCATGAGCAAAGATCATGTTATAGGCATATGCAGAGCTCTTTTGTTAGCAACAGCCTCGGTAGGCATGGGATTTTGCTAAATTGTTATAGGATAGGTACAGAGGATCTTCTGAGCATTTTCTTAAGCTGTCCATTTGACTTCATCATTACCAAAGCATGAGATGTCAGAAGATAAGAGAGGAAATGTCTGGATATGCTTACGAAGATCAGCTGAAGGTTAGCACAGGGTTGCCATGCAGTGACTTAACAGGAGTAAAAAAGGTGGTTAGGAAAACTACATCACAGCAAAATCCAAGAGTTTATAATGTGGAAGACAGATGAAATGAACTCACACAACTGACTGGTCACCTGGCACATAGAGATTTCAACTGCAAGTAGCATCATATCTTGCCACATACAAGAAACTGGGGAGAATTTCCCAAAGCAGATCTTTTGCCTGACTCACCCTCTGCACACCTCAGTATCATCTTACCATGAACTGTCATGCAACCTCTGCAACCCTCTACAGTTTACCCACAGTCACTCTTCTTTCTTTCCCTCTCTGTATTTCTCATCTTTCTTCCTTCCTATGTCTCCTGTTTTATTTTGGTTTTGCTTCCTTTTCACATGCTAGCAGCCCTGAATAACCCCAGTCCTCTGTAAGCCTTGGCTAGCATGCTACCAGACATGAACATTTTAGGTGTAGGGGAATGAGGCTAGCACTATGAGGCTTCTACACAAGGCTTCTGCATAAAGGAGTAGCTTTTGCCCAGATCCTGACTCAACTAGAGAAGCAAAACAAAATTTGGGACTAGAGGGAAGTTATCTATTCATACGTATTTCTCATGCACACAAGAGACACGAAGTGAGTGCAGGTCTATGGAATGGATTAAAATCCTCTTTGAATGTTAGAGTCTTTTGTTTGTGTAAGAAGTGTTAAATCTGGCCATGATGGAGGTATACAAAACAAATGACATGGGAAAGGTAGAGTATGCACAACTTTGGTACTTTTTCTATGATAGACAAATGATGGAACATCATAGTTACAATGCAGTATGGTTATGCTGAGAATGCTTTCTTCCATGGTACACAACTAACTACTGCATGTTAACACTGACTCATAGAATCATAGAATTACAGAATCATAGAATTGTTCAGGTTGGAAAAGACCTTTAAGATCATCCGGTCCAACCATCAACCCAACACTACCAAGTCCACCACTAAACCAATTAAGGGTAGAGTAATAATTAATTTCATGTTTCCTGGCTTGGTGGCTGGATTATTTTTTAATGAAAGTAAAACTAGAATAGAATCATTAAGGTTGGAAAGGACCTCTAAGATCATCAGTCCAACCGTCAACCCAACGCCACAATGCCTACTAAACCATGTCCCAAAGTTCCACATCTACAATCGACCAGCCCACCCCAATACAGAAAAGAACAGGGGTCTTAAAGGGGTGAAAGTATTCAGTTATCAAATAAAGTGACTGCAACTCTGTTGCTTAAAGCATATGGTAACAACAAGGAGAGATCGGGAATACTCCCCCTCCAGTGCTTAAGACATTGGGTTTGTCTGAAACACCTGGAACCGATTGCTGCTGTGACAGTATTCACTGATGTAATTAAACACATGTGTTCTGCTATTGTCAGCAGCCCACAGTGGACAGCAAGATCTTATGGCACTGGCATGGACAAATCTATAGTAAAGAAGCAGTCTTGCTTCTCTACAGACTTGACAATTCCAGTTCATAGGGCGGCCAGAGAGAAGTAGGAGGAGACACAGTCACACAAAGTGACTCGGTGTCAGCCATGCAATAGACTGGCACGCAGACGGGATCGCAAGTCAGATTTCCTCAGCCTCATGGCAGCTGAAGCTATAGGTTTATTTAGTTAAGCAACTTCTGGGTTCATGATAGGACTCAACAGTAGTGGATCTGCAATGCCAGAACCATGCCCCACAATAAATGATTGACCATTTCCAGGAATTACTGTGCTTGGCTTGGTTCTTCCCAGAAATGTGGGTTTCTCCATGCTGCTACCTTCCTCTGCAGAGCTTTCCCTAACCACCATCTCCACTGCTGCCCCATGTGCTGGGGGTGGAGGAACAGAAGAGTGAGTACAAACTGCTCACTTCTGTTTTCCACCATAATCTGATGGCAATCTCCTAACAGTGCAAAAACAGACTTGGCATTTAAAAAATGTTTCCAGCTCAAGTAGCTGCTCTCGGAGCTCATTAGAGGGCTAGCATTAAGGCAGGTACTGGAAAGAACTGCAGGAAACTGTGGTTTCAAATTTTGCAGCAGGATATTTCTGACTTTCGGCAAAACAGTGAGGATTAACTTCACAACATGCCTGATTTACAATAGCCAGTGCAGTGTAGAAATATGAACAAAGAAAGATTTCTGGATAGTACAATCCATAGTGTAAAGGCACATCTTTATACTGTACTGTGTTGCATCTGCTAATTTGGAACCGCAGACACCATAAACAAATGTAGCCAGCTGGCAAAATCTCCCTTCCTGTGGTTGAATTAATGCTTAAGCAACTTGCCTTCCCCAGTTTCAGAGATGCCAGCAGATGTCCAGGTAAGCTGGGAAAAAAAGCAACGCTAAGCATGCTTTAGCTGGTAGCTAAATGACAAGGGCAGCATCCATATGCTAGGACTATGCCTGTGTTCAGACACCCTGAGCAAAAAAAAAAAGAGTCTCTGCGGGTGCACAACACCGATCAGCCAAACTAGGGTTGGTGTTAGTTGGACTACATGCCTAATGCTGGCATTAGCAGAGCCAATTTTTGTCTACGGTAGAACTTTCTCGAATTCATCTGAGCAGTGTTTGGTGGGAGCGTGGATGAAGTACTTTGCCAAAGAGGAAAGTAAGCAGGAGGAATTCAGATCCTCTGGTGCTCTGCATTATCTGCAAAACCATTCCCACCGCAGTGACGTTGTCTGCATTCCCTTTCAGTTCAGAGCAGTCCTCTGGCTACTATGAATTTCTCGGCGTGAACAGCTGTCAGGATGTGGTTCATCTGTATAGGCTGCTGTGGTCCTCCACAGTCCTCAACATCATCGGGTTGTTTCTGGGGATTATTACGGCAGCCATTCTTGGGGCATTTAAAGACATGGTAAGGCTCACAGTCTTTTGCCTTATGTGAGGACTTCTGTGCTTGTTGATGTTATCAAATGGGTTAAAACCAAGGAAGCATAAGTGTACGAAGGAGGCATTTTAAACATGTTTCCTGTGTGATCTGGGAGTCTGGAGTCATATCTTTAGGCTAAGCTGTTGCCAGCTGCAAACAGCTAAGTAGGTCAAGCATGGTCAAATACATGAATGGAAGGGAAAAAACAGGAGCCTCTCTGAACAGATGCTGGTGATTCACTTAGTGGCATCTTTTTTTCCTTCTAATTCAGCATTGAACAGGGGGGGCAGCACAAAGTTAGAGGATGCTAGTTTGTAGCTAGCATGTAAAACTCAAGTCCTAGGTGTGCCTGTTTAACCTCATGTAGTTCTTTTCCCAAGAATGGGGATTAACTCTGAAGCACCAGTCAGGTTTTTATTTAAACAGTTGTATTGAGGTCACATTAACCTCTTTCATTTCACTAAGGATTGACACCCTCTATCTGCTCCCTGTGCCACACCACCGTGTTGTGCTGATGTGCACCGCTGCAGTCAGAAGAGGCTGCGTGCTAGGAGGGATTCTGTAATACAGTGCCTCATCACCTAGATTTTCTGACATGTTAAAAGGGTGAAGTAGCTGTTCCTGGGATTATCACTGTCAGTGGTTATGTTTGCTAAAGCAGTGCCTAAAAACCAACCAAGTGACTCATGATTTACTAGGCACTCAGAAGAGTAGACGGCCCCAGCCCAAAGAGCTTCCAAAGTAAATGGGCAGAGGCATGGGGATGGAGGTGAAATGCAGGAGCTGAAGGGAGGTGTGACAGCAGCACAGGTCTAGATCCGTGATGTTTCTGGTGACTACTCCAGAGGAGTAGACTAAATAGAAAGACAGGTGAAAGGAAAGAAGAGTGGGATGGAGCAGGGAAGAGAAAGCAAGAGAGATGGGTGAGATGTGCACTGGGGGGTCAGACTAGAGGGAAGGGGTGGCTCAGAGCTGGCAGCCAGTGAGCCAAGGACCCAGTCAGACTGCAGGCCATCCAGGCCCTGCTCCGACCACCCAGCGTCCCTTAGCAAGCATGTCCAAGCTATCTACAACATGTGTTGGGTGCTTAAAACCGTGTGACAGAGCAGGGCCATATGAATTATTGAAATTCACCTTTGTTAAGAGTTGCAAAATGTTTGCCGGAAATACTCCTCTCTCTAGCTTAAGGCAAACAAGCACACTGAGTCTTTGCATGTAAGAAATGTGCAGCTGAGCTGTCTGTTACGTGAGGGGACTCTTGCAAGGAGTTGATAACAGATTGCAGCCAGCCAGTAAAGACTTGTGGCTGCCCGACAGGAGGGAGTGGAAGCAGCTTTCCCAGCTTAATTCATCCCCTCTCTGTCAGAGGAGCAATGGCAGACGGGGAGCAGAAACAACCACAGTGGGAAACGAGGGGAAGAGCAGCTACATGAGGAGGGGAAGGCAGGCATCATCTACAGTAAGTCCTTGGTAGAGCACTGCAGCTTTCCAGTGCTGCTAAGTATTTTCCCCTGCCTAACAGATGGGTGCGAGTGCCTCCACCAAGGGCAGCTGTGGGAGCTGCTAGTGCTCCCCTGAGATGGGGAAGGGTGCAGAGAGCCAGCCTGAGCCCACCTAATCTGTCTCGAACAAACCGAGGCTTACATGGGATTTGGGCTGATGCTTCACAGCAGGGCGAGCCCCAGCCCAGCACACATCTGTGCTGCGCAGGGGCCATTGCTGCACTGCTCGTGAGGGACGCCAAGCCAAGGAGATGTTCCTGGGAGAACTGGGGTCTCCATGACCTGGTATGTTCCCTTGCTGGGAGGCAGAGCCTGGGTGAAGGTCTGGGTCCTCTGGACGGCATAAAGCTGTGCAAGGAAATCGCAGCAGCAGTGGATGTGCAGCTTCCCCCCAGGCTCGTCTGGAGTGAGTCTGTCAGGGCTCCAGCTAAAAACCTGATCTGAATAACCTGTTTAATGTCTCCTCTGCAGCGGGAGCGGAAAAAAACCCATTCACTAGCTCAAGGGAAAGATGAGTTTGTGTCAGTTACCTCAGCACAGGAGCCATGCTATGCTTGTGAAAGTGTTACTAAAGCAGCAATCCGAAATGCAAAGACCGCTCCTTGCTCCGGCCCGTGCTTTTTCAGGGTCCTTTTGAGTGACGTACCAGAGCTGGTTCGCTAATCTGTTGCTCGCCTTCATTAGGAAAGGAGTAACTCTTGGGGAAAGACGGGGGCCAAGAAAACATCAAGCAGAAGAGGGAGAGAAAGGGGCACGGGACTGAAATAAGGAAAAAAACCCCAACCTTCAAAATGTGTGGGAGAACAGTTTTCTTTCTTTCAGGATGTCACCTCCCCACAGAAATGCTCACTGGCATTTTGCAGGGAGAGCTGCAAAGCCCGCTGAAACGCCTCAGGGCATTGCTCTGAGGTTGACTTCCAGAAAACACGGGGCCAGGCTGACTAGTCAAACAAAAACCATCATGTTTATCTCTGGGGAATGCTGGCAGCCAAAACACGTTACAAAGGGGAGAGTTTGCAAAACACTGCCGTTGCCTCTAAACCCATCACATTTCCTGGACAGAAAAAAAAAGGAAGTGTTGTTTTGGCTGTTGCGGGTTTTCTTTCTTGTGACAAATTCCCTGCAGACCCTGGCACGTTCCCCGTGGTTTTGCTGCCTGCCAGAGGGCCGTGCTGGCTCAGTGGGAAATATTTCATCCTCTCCTGACCCCCAAGGTGTCAGCTCTCGGTGGCCCCTGTGTCACCTGTGGGGCCATCCTCTGTGATATGCTGGGTGCTGGGGGAGCTGCAGTGGTTACGACAGTACCCTCCTTTTCGGATCTATAGCTTGGATATAGGATGCCGGCTAGGCAGTTACCTTGAAGTAACTTTTCATAAAAAGCAGATTAAGATATAATGTAAATAGAAGTATGTACTTGGAGTATCCAACATGGTAAGACACTGTAATTATTTCTTACAGAAGGCAGAGGTAAAGAAATGCATGGAAAACTTCACTTGCTGGTACTAAGAGTTAATCTAGAAACTCCCTTCCCTGCCCCAGTATTCATCTGATGAATTGTAGATGTTTTCCTGACACACCTTGCCAAGGAATCTGCCTGCCCCGAGTTGAGGGTTGCATTAATCAGTGCTACTGATGGTCCTGGGGGGGGGTTGCTGGCTTTTTTTTTTTTTCCCAATTAGTCTCCTTCTTGGAGTCCTCAAGGGAATCTGAACAGGTTAAATGTCGTTCCCTTATCCCCTCTCCTCTTCCCTCACCCTGATCTAAAAAGGAAAACAAAATGAACCCCTAATTACCGAGCTTCATGTCGTAGCACGCGTGCAACTAAAAGTGCGGTCTGACGTTAAAAGTAGTTGTAGCTCAGAAATAAACACTTTGGCATCATGCATCACTGCATCATGCCGGCGAGCTGACCTGCCTTGCTCTGCAGCTGCGCAGCCCAGCACACAGCGAGCAGCAGCTCCCTGTCCCCAGGTGCCCGCATGGTGCTGGCAGCGCTCCCTGGCCAGTTCACAGCTCCTTATCTCTTTGACTTGGGTGGCGTTTCAGTTTAAAATGTCTCCACCTACCCTTGTATTTTATGTAGCTAATTTAACATAGTGTCATTACTGGAATACTTGATAAAAGCATCTAACCAGCTTCAATACCTGCCAGTCATTGCTGGCTCCAGGCTGAGACCAGATAGCCTGATAATAAGGTACTTTGATCAGTGGATTTGGGGTGGATGACTCCCCAGAACTGTCTTCTAGGACTGTTGTGATGTTCATCCATAGCAATTGGAGAGCATTGCTGCTACGGATGGAGAGAACGTAAGAGGACTGAGAGAGGTTCTTGGGAGAAGGACAGCAGCACCCAAAGGGACCCACACCAGAAAGTTGGTGACAGATGCAGAACAGGCACCTGTGTTTCACGTTGGGCAAAACAAGTGTTTCTTGCCGTGTTTACGTCCATAGCCAGAAGGATCTGATGGCGCCAGGGCCCCCCTCCTCCAAGGAAGGGCACGCTCTGGGTGCGGACTCAGCCCTGGCTGGGGTGAGCTATGTCGCTGGCCCCAAACCTTTGGGTCTGAGGCAAGCTCATTAGCTGCTTCTCGCTTCTCCTGTCTGAAAGGCAGTGTCTCTCCATTTGTCCCCACCATACCCACCCAGACAGGGTGGGTAGAAAGGAGGTGTATTGAGGAGGTTGCCTTGAAGATGAGAGACTTGCCTTTTCCCATGAAACTCTCTGCTTTTGACCCCTGCCTTTGCGCCAGCTCCTGGGGTGCTAAGGTTCTGCAGAAAGCTAAGGCTTAGATTGTCAGGTAAAATCATGTGCTACATCAGTGACCTAGATGATGTTTTCCATGTACAAACACAATATACCTCTTTCTCAATCACAGAGACGCCTCACACTATCTCCAGAGGATGCAGTGGTTTCTGTCTCTCACTGATAAATCTGAAAGGAAATGCCAAAAAAAAAAAAAAAAAAAAAATCCTGGCTGCTGCTTTCAGCATTTGTCTGGCAACCACCATATTTTATTATTTCAGTAAAAAGAAAGTTCCATGCTCTCATGTAGAGGAATCTGCTAATAAAAACAAAGAGAAAAGAAACCACTGGATTTGTCTCGCTTTGCAAAGCAGAGGGACATGAAAATCTTTCACAGAGCTCTACTGTCCTTCATAAATGGTTATATAGCACAGGGTTTTAGGGTTTAACGCAAGCCCCCTTTCACATTTAGCTTTTGGGGTTTTTTTTCTCCCCCAGTTGTATTAGCTGATTTAACATGAGCTGTTAGTTCTTCCTGCAAACCTCATCTCACATTGCAGTTAAGGGACATGCCAATAAAGCCATGGGATACGATGAAGGATTTTATACAGTAGGAATGAGATATGCACATGGGAGGTGGTATTGGGCAGCCAGCAGCAAACTCCATTTCACAAGTGAGAGGGAGCTGTGAAAGAAGAGCAAGCGGTCTGGAAAGGGAGATCTTTGTAGATCTGTGTTGGAAAGCAGAGAGAAAAGACATGAGGGCATCAGGTAGCTGCTATTGGAAAGAGTCTGCAGCAAATTGTGAAGGACTGGGTGTTTCGTGCTGGAGTGAATTAAGAAGAGGCGGTCAAAGCTGTATGCTGTGCTTTTCAGGGTGTCTCGGGTCTGGAGTCCCGCCAGTGCTTCTGTAACTGGTGCTAGGGAAGCAGCAGCAGTCTTTTTCCATGGGAAGAAGATTAAAACAGCTGTGTAATTCTGGTCAGAAAATTCACTCCAGATACACCCTCCTCTCATTCTGTCTGCTCCTTGTTTTTTTGTAGTACCAGTATTGTGTTGGAAAATAGAAAGTTGTTAAATTGCCTAGTTGCTTGTGTTAGGACCAGTTCCTGCTCCAGCCCCCTCTGCACTGTGCTGACATATTGTTGTCTTCTGTGCTCAACAGGTACCTCTGTCCCAAATTGCTTTCAGTGCTGCACCTCCTCAGATCCTGTACAATCCTGCCCAGCAGATCCTGACATATGCTGGGTTCTGTCCTTCTGCAGCAACTATTTCTACATATCCATCCTACCCGTTACCTCTTCAGGTACAGTACAAAATGGCACTTTCCTTACTCCATCAGAAAAGCATAAGCTGCTGCTCAGTACAACTCTGCAGTGGTAGATCTTTGCTCCTGGGGGTTTGAAACAAGGCAAGGAAGGTGGATCCCAACTCACAGACTTGTCTCTGGGATGACTTAATGTGGGCCTAGCTCTCAGGTCTGTTCTCAGATCTCAGGCTTTCTCTGGTTGTCCTTTGGACTCTGTCTGCTGACCAGGAATCCCAATGTGGGATTAGAGCTGCACTACAGTAGCCATGAAGGTGAACGCAGCCCCCATGCTGGGCAAGATAAAGCAGCAACAGAGGCACTGGGGAAGCCAAAGGAAGCATCTGATACACACAGGATTTGGCAGAAAAGTTTACACACCTTAGCCCACCTTACTCTTCATATGGAGATGAGTAGATTAGGACCCATCAGATGGAAAGGAGACAAGAAGGGGGAGGAAATAAGAGGTCTGTGAAACTAAGTGATATGGAAAGGATTGTGGGTGGATATTAGTGACAACTTCTAATCACACAAAGTTTTGGTTGCCCCAGTAAAGCTATTAAGTGGCAAGATAAGCCAGAAATAGGAAGTATTTTTACATACCAGAGAAGATTCAAATGCCACAGGATGTTGTGGAAGAATATAAATGAGGGGTTATGAACATCAGCTGCTGTTAAATACAGGGATTCAGGTGTCACTTGCAGCCCAGCAAGTCCCCAGATGGCTGCCTGCCACAAAAGCCAACCAGGGCTCATCAGTAGATGGAGCCCTTATTCTTTTAGCTTCCTATAAACATCTGCTACACGCCACCACTGGGAGACAGGTACAGAGCTGCTAGGGCAGTTGGCGGAGGCTGGCAAGCCTTGCTGACCAGAGGCAGCTGGCCTGAAGGCAGGAGGGAAAGCTGCCAGAGGTGCAGCTTCCTCCCCTTGCGGGAGGGGATACAGCATGAGCCGAGTCAACTCTGCTTCACCTCCTTCAGAAGGATGAGGTGTAAGTCGTGCTCCAAGCCTGGGCTGCGTCCGTCAGAGCTGGCCTGGAAAATGCAGGGAGCGGTGCTGAGGATGGTGTATGGGTTTTTTTTCTTTGCCCCAGGGTGAAGTAAAGAACAGAGGGGTGAGCTGGTAAATAACTGAATGTACTGACACCCTGGAACAATCATAGGAGTTTTTAGTTTTTTTAAAGCACAGTAAGTCTGTTTTGTTCCATCCAGTGGCTTGTTATGCTTTGGCTGTGTAGTGCTAGACCAGTGGGTACCACAAGTTTTGCAATACTGAAATTAATTGAAACGGAACTTAATTGCAAACGCTGCATGTTTAGCATGAACTAGCTGTGGACCAGCTCCCCACAGCCTCCTGGGCTACCCCTGTTTTCAGGGCCAATAAGCTACCAGGCACAAGTACTTGGACATGATGATCATCCACACCAGTGAATTGTGAGCATGCTCCTGATATGGGTTTGGCCCAGACCACCTCACAGTCTCCCAACAATGCTCAGGAAGGGGTCAGAAGATGGCAAGGGCAATGGACCATTCCTGGTAGGTAGTGTGCATACAGACAGTTGCGCTGGTTTGGTGGTAAGAGTTCAGCTGTAAGGGTGTGATATTTGCTGTGCCAGTTGGCTTCACAGCCAGAGAACAGTCCTTGGCACGTCTTATTAACATAAATGGGGCCTGGCACTTTTGGAGACCACGAGCTGAGAGGAGAAAAATGAGCATCTCTTTTTGTTTGCTTTTAGCTGAAAAGCTGTGCTGTTCTGCAGAGTTCAGTTAGCACGTAGCCAAGAGTAGAGAGGGAAGGGGATAAAAACAGATGAAAGCAAGCAATTAAGCTGAAAAGATGCATGTAAGTAGTTATGAGGATCAATTTCAACTGTTCAGTCCTGTGTCCACTGAGGAACAGAAATATGTCATATTTACCCCAAATTCTTAACTGCATTCCAAAAGAAACACAGTTCTTTTCCTAGATTTCTACTTTTTCTAAGAAATGTGTTCATTTGTCTTCTCTTCCCTTCATAACATTCAGAGGCAGACACCACCAGCTGTCCCCAAGCCAGGAGAGGTTAGCAAGAAGCAGTAGGCTCCAAAGGGGAAAGTGCTTAATCCTTTTTGGGGCGGGGAGGGGGAAGCAAGCCACCTTCCTGCATATATGAGCTCATTATGTTGTAGTTTGGAGAGAATTAATTTCTGCATCAGTATATGAGTTAAAAAAATCATAATAAACTTACTTGAAGCTACAAATGGTGAATGTTAGAAGCAGGCCCAATTAGGAACAGCCAGAAGCTTAACTGTCATCCGCTTCCATGACTTGAGAGCTATGGGCTGAATCCATGGGGCTGGGGGTCTTCATGACCCATCTAAGTGCTCAAAGCAGTGCCCAGCTGCTGGATTGATGCCTTCACAAGCCCTGTTCAGCTGGTCCTAGTCCTTAAGGCAACTACAGGCCCTGGGGCTGGGATTCGTCTGGCTAAATGCAGGGTCTGTGGGCATGTAGGGATCTGGTGCTGCCTGATAATGAGATCAGGGGCCACCTGGCCCCTGCTGCCACTCCGGGAGGGTCCAGGTCCTGTAGTCCATGTCACATCTGTGTGGATGTCTGGGATATCCCATGGCATCCCAAAAGGGCTGGACAACTGAATTGAGCTCTAGCTGTCCATAGTGTAGGAGACCCTGCCTGAGCTGGTCTACCCTTTAGAGTCCACAGGGAGACCCACACATGGATTATCTCAGGCTAAAGATGTATGATGTGAGTGCTACAAATGCACCCTAAAGGCCTTTCCACTGACTAGGGGTGGGATTCAGTTGCTACATGTCACTGTGCCATATGCTTAGATATCTATGTTCTTGAGCCTTCAACTGAGACGTCAAAATCTGAGGCTGAACCCTGTATCCTAGGGGTGTAGTTCATTTGCCTAAAGATAGGGCATCTAAGATGGCCTAATGTCCACAAGACAGGGCTGGCTGATCTGGGCCAAGGTCTACATGAGACTCGCACATATTTCTGGAGCAGCTGGCAGAGGGTGCCCTTGGGCATCTCAAAAGGCATAATGTTTTTGCTTTCACGTAGACCAAGATCCATGTAAGGGCCCCAAGATGCACTTCTCGTCTCAGCATTCCCTTTGGCTCACCGAAGCTTTGGCTAAACACTGTTCCCCTGCATTTCACATTGCCCTATCATTGTCACACAGGTGGTGGTTCAGTACAACAAAAGGAGCAAGACCTTCTTCAGCTAAGAGTTGGGGGGAAAAAAGTGAATTGATGCCAGTTAATGAAGTTAAGCAGTTAGCAATCAATTACCAACTAATAACTCTAGTTTGAACCCTCACCTCAACCAGAGGAAATCTGCAGCCATAATTCCTCCTCCTGGGAACACATCCCACCTGGGGTTAGTCTGGCATCCAACACACCCAGCCTAAGTGCTGCCCCCACTTGCAGGGACTGAAGCTCCATTAGCTCAAAGGAGCTGTGGCTCCCGCCATTGAGCAGATTCATTCCTAGTCCTCTTTTGGATCCAGTATCTCACTGAATAACTGCTTGCTGGAGGGACAAAGTCTTTATAAAAAAACCACAGCCTGAGCTGGTGATAAACGCTCTTCGGTTCCTCATGCTTCCTTGTCCACAAGCAGAAATCAGCCAAATGCAAAAAAAGAAAGGGTGATAACAGGAACGCATTTTGACAAGGATGTAACTGACATTTCTTTTGTTTACTGTGGCATGTGCTAACAAAATCATTCGTCCTTTACTGGTCCAGTTCAGTCACAACTAGTCTTGGTAACAGGCCTGCCAATTGGTCAGGTAAATGATTAGCTGTGCAGGGACTGGTGGTGAGGACAGCACTAAGGGTTGTGCCAGTCCTTCCTGCCAGAGGAGAGCTCATTACAGAAGCAATTCCAGGCAGACAGATGGAAACAGTCGCTGCAGTTTGAGGGGGGAGGGAAGCAACAACTCCAAAATAAATAAAAAAAAACCCAAACCACCCAAAACCCCAACAACTACGTTTGGAGCCGATCTCGCTAGCAGGTCCATCAGTATACCTGCACTGGCTCCTGGAGAGTTAAAGGGCATAATCAACCTTCCTGTCAGGACATCCCCATTCTCACTCACTCATTCCCCCTGGGGTACAAATGCAGGACAGCATTCTCCTCGCCATGGGCGTTTGACCCAGCCCCTGCTGATCCAGAGCCCCACGGAGAAGCCAGGCACCGTGGCGTGGGGGTCTGGGCAGCTCTGAGCTGGCGCTGTCCAAGTGCCAGCCCTGGTACGGGCCTTCTAGATGGTGACTATTAATTTTTTTAGCAGCAAGGAGCAGCATTTACTTGCCCAGATTTTTCATTTCCCCTTGAAAAAGATCCATGATTACTATTTTTTGTCTTGTTTTGTTTTTTAAATTCCAGGCACTTTAGGCCTGAACCTGAGGGGAGCTGAGCACAACTCTTCTGATGAGGCCCATGCACTTGCCTGTGTTGGCATATGAGGGGAGGACTGAAAACCTGACCCTCTTGAAATCAATGGCAAAATTTGGTTTAAAATAGTGGCAGGATTTTATCAAGAACATTAGTCCCTACATGCATTCTTTTGTTTTAACAAACTCTGCTTGTTCCTGAACATGGGCTGGTTCCTAAGCTCTATTTTTCATGCCTCTTTCAGCCAAAGCCCCATTACAGCTGAGACAGCCACACTGAAAGACCTACAGGGAGAAACATGCCTACCTGTAAAATATTGTCTTAAGAGGAGTCTGCATTTGACGCAGGAGTAAGACCTTGCATTTATGCAAGTATTATAACTGAGATTAATTACATCTGAGACAATTTAAATTTCACAGGGATGCCTGGAAACGAGCAGCTACACGTAACCTAATCAGCCAGTCAGGTGCAGTGCCTCACCCAGGAAGCCAGCGCATCTTTTCCTGCAGAAATTCCTGTTCTGCTCTATTGCTTAGCTGTATGCGCAATGTCTATTAAAAATGACTTGGGTTACAGATGGAATCTGTCTTGTTTCACTAGACACCATCATTTCTATACTTAAGCAGGTGCTTTAAAACTAAAGTGAGTGTTGTGCTGCAATGCCTGAGAAATTTAATCATGGGGCTTATTATATAACACTTACATGGCAAACAATACAGAGCTGCAAATGGGTTGTAATCCTTTACTGAAGAAGTATTTTTCTTTGTCTGTATACAGCCTGCCAGCAATTTTCCAGGAACATCATCTACTGACATTTCTTTATCAGAAGAAACTCAGCCTCCATCTCAGTCCAGCTCCAGCTATGGTCTTCCTCCCAATGCTCCAGCCCTCTATACACCAACTTACTTCTTGCCTGGAGAAAAGCCTCCACCGTATGCACCATAGAACAAAGAATTTCTTTTAGGTAGCTGGTAGGCTTTTATTTTGTTTTTAAGAAACCTGTGGAAACCATGCCGTGCAGGCACTAGACAAGGAACCCACTGCAGAGTGTGCTATGGCCACTCTGCTTTTACTTGCATCTCACTGTGAGCAGAGCAGAACCCTGGAAACGTAAGGGCAGGCACATCACTAGCGGGGTGACCAGTCACCACCAGTTTGCCTGCTGTCAAATGAAGTGTTGCTTTCTGGCTACCATAAGCATGAGTTTTTTCCTTCTCCATCTACTGAAGAATGATTTTTCTTCAAGAGGAGAAATGAAGAAAGCACCCTGGGTATATGTTCTGCTCTCATAAACCAATATAGAGGGGGTTTAGCCTGTGTTGTCTGAGTGGGTAGTCTGGAGCTCTCTGAGTCAATCATTTTGGGTAGGAAGAGACCAGGTGTTTGTTTGCTTGTAGTATTTATTTAATAACCCTTTTTGGTGAAAGTGTTGTACCGATAAAAAAAGTGTGGCAGTTATTTTACAATAAAATTAACTGTGTATATTTATACTGTACCTAAGGCTGTGTGTATGTGTAAGGACAGGAAAACAAAAAAACAAATGAAAAAGTTCCCTCTTTCAGGTTTCAAGCAGAAAGATTAATTTTATTGGGACTATTTTATCCGAACTTTGTGCCAGTCTAGTCTGCATAATAAAATGTCATGTCAGTGTGCTAAAGATGTAATTTCCAGACAGGCATTTAAGCTTCACTTTAGTGTTCAGATTAATTCCTTCCTAGTCAAAAGAGGACCACAACCAAAACCACTCTGTGTTAAACCCATTATTTATTTTTAAACTGATCAAGACCTGATCCAGGCATTTTACGACAACTGAAACAGAATGGATGGTCAGAATACCTTCTTTTTTTTTATTTTCTCCTGTTGTATAGAGACAAAAGTATGTTGACAAGGCTAAGCAGTGATACCTGTAACAGTGCCAACGACAGGAACAAAGTCTTGTCCCTGTCGTGTGCACCCTGCCCCCTCACTGTGCATCACATTAGCTGGGATCCCTCTTAGCACGTGGCTGCTGTATTTCAGGGCAGGAGTGGCTATGCCAGCATGAAAACCCATCTGACTGCCTCATCCTTTCTCTGTGTTTTCCTCCTGCAGGAAGGGTGGTGGTGCTTCTTGCTCTATAGGTCTTACAGTCTAGACAGCAATGAAGCTATAGAAATTTCCTGAAAGGCCAAAGAGCAAAGCATGGAAAGGAAGGTATTTCTCATTAACATTTTAAGCAGCTGCTTCATATTATGAAACTATAAAAAAAACCCCTATATAAACAAAACCAGCCTACTTGACAGTTTCCTCTGAAAGGAAGTGACACCATCAGACCAGCCGAAAATAGAACAAAGAATGATCAGCCTTTTACATAATATTTTCCACCTTTCAAGAAATTTGTTAATTTATGTGTTGTACCTCTATGTATAAAAACCAGATTCAGTACTAATACACATAAGATCAGAGGTTAATTTATATGGACAATAAAAAACATGTTTTGTTCAATTAAGCAGGGTTTTCTGAGATGCAAAGTTTTAGGCCAGCAATGTTAACATCAGTGATGAGGTGCCTTACGTCTATTGTTGACAAGGTGAGTTACATGAACCTGGTTAAGAGAAGCAGAAGACAGAGAGGAGACCATGATTTTTCCTTTAGACATGAATTTGGCGCATCCAAAATGCTTCGTTCTTGTGCAGATGCATGCTGTGAAGAGCACAATAACCCTGATCGTGAAATGAGTGGAACTACAAATTTACTTCTTTTTACTCACTATGAATACTACCGGGGGACCACCAGGGTTCATTTTGGGGATTCAAAGCCCAGAACAGACTTGCTCCCTTTGAGTTGAGCACCTAGACTGATAATAGAACAAAAATTAAATCAATATTTCTCTTGGGTCAAAGCACAGTGACTGAGGAGGAATGAAAGAATGCTTATCACTTTTTTCCTCTTTTCAATGGTATATAGAAGCAGCTGCCTCTTCCTTCAGCGTGGTACTGCTGTAGGGTATTAAAAACAATCCAGTTTGACACAAGACCCCTGCTTTCTGTAATTCTCCAGACTTACAAACTCTGGCTTTCTCTTCTAAACCACTTTTTTTGTTTGGGGGTGTTGTGGTCTATGCAAAATATCTCTGCATACATGCACACATATGCACAGTCTTGGAGAAATTTTTGCTCTGAATTACATTGCTTTAGAAAATGGAATTAGTCTTTTTTCACATAATATTAAGCTGAAATTGCAGCGTACCCCAGTGTACCACAGGGTTCACATTTCCAGGATCCAAAATAATTCTGGCCTCATAAATAGTACCACTTACATTAACACAAAGGTCAGACATGTTTGTGACTCATTTATGCCATATGGTAGTTTTTTGGGAAGTACCACAGAAATTATACAAAAATGCCAGACATAAGACTATTTTGCTAACATGCTTCCTTTGAAAAGAACAAAGTAAAACAGGGTTTGTTTCATCTACTTGATTTAAAAATTAGTAGGTATCTTCCAAATTTGTACTGTTTTCATTAGAGCTACTCCAAGTTAAAAAGATGGGAGATGTATTTCGGTAAAGGACTAAAATAACCATGAAAAACACACAGAAAACAAAACACTGCAGTGTGGAAGTGCCATTAACCACAATATCTCCAGGATTCCCGGCTCTCACTGGAGATAATAAACTAATGTTTCTTGGGTTCTCCATCATATCACAAGTTGATCCAGAGTCATCAACTGTAACAGAAAGCACCCTCAGGAATAACATGGTTTCCCTTGCTCAATAAAAAAGCAAAAACATAGAACTACTGGGTTTTCCTACCCATGAACACTGTCAATAAGTTATTACTGTCTAGCGAGCAGCTATCCTTTCAAACTTGCATCTGGTCACACCTGAGTGTGAAGAGTCCTTCTGTAAGTGTAAATGAGTAGGTTGGTTGAAAGCGATAAAGTTCTGGTCTTTTCTGCCCTATTGCATTACTGCTGACTAATTTGGTCATGATGTGGAGCTATGATGTCATGCTGTCTAATGGCTAAGAGAGTACCTTCCTCTTCTCTGCTAAATAAAGCAGGGATCCTTACCAGCAACTATGTTTGGGATAGTCTTACCCAACTTCCATCCCTTCCTCTGGGACAGTTATATCTCTACAGCTTGGTCACAGATATTGTCATACAAGTGGTTTATTAGGCTAATCTATCATCTCTGTATTTTACTAGGCAAAACATGACATAGAATGACCATGAACAATTTACAAAAGACCTTGTAGGATTAGACATTTTCCACATTAACCCTCTGAAGCATAGGGTAACCTTAGCCACCCGGTATTCCAATTTCCACCACAGCATATACCTCTCAGGTCATTAATCTGATGCACGACAAGGACGAAATAAAGCAAGATTTAAGTGCCTCAAAGCAGGCTAGGCAAAGCCCACCCCAACTTCACATGGACAGCTTAAAAGCTGAATGCCCTTTATGGCTCTACAACCTCTCCTGAGTAAACCCCACGCATATTCTCACCACACTGCAGTTCAGCCTGGCTAACTCTCACAGTCTCAAGCCTCTGTGTTCCCACTAGGCTCACAGTGAATGAGCCAACCTAAAAATTAAGCAGCAAAAATATGTCATCGCCAGATAACATTCCCCAATTCTTGACACCTCATCATTTGCTTCAGCATTTATTGACACAAAAGCCATATGGCTTTCAACTTATTGAGTCTTCTCTTCTAATTGTTTCCTGCT